ATATAATAAAAATAAAAATTAATATTAGTTACTATTAATTACTATTTTTTCTAATCAATTTATTATTGTGTTCAAATGTTTCAAATGTTTTTTATAACTCTATTCAAAGTTAATATATTTTATAATATATTTGATTACTACATTCAATTATTTTTAGTTAATTGAATTTTATTTTTCATTATTCATACTTAAAATTTTACTATTTTTATTTTTATCCCTTTTACTAATCGTCGTAATTATAGTTATATTATTATAAAAATATCAAATGTAAAAGATATTTTAAGCAATCAAATTCATTTATTTGGCAATATGTCTCGCATTTAATTTTTTTAATGTTCATCATTGTTCTATTATATAGTAGGTTTTATCATTATATTTCAGTTTATAAGTTTTTGATTCTTGTTAAAAATTGACTTTTTTGATAAAAATATTTTTTAAAATTTATGGTACATAATTTATAGATTTATAGTATAATAAAAATTGATATTACTTAGCATTATTATTTTTCCTAATGAATTTATTATTGTGTTCAGATATTTCTTATAGCTCTATTTAAAGTTGACATATTTTATAATATATATATTTTTTTTTGGTACAGGGACCTTCCGGTTTCCGGATCCACAGGGGAACCGACTAATAATAGTTTTATATTATAAATATAGCAAATATAAAAGATATCTTAAGCAATCAATATTCATGTATTTGGCATTACGTTTTCGGATTTAATTTTTTTAAATGTTCTTTATTGTTTTATTGTACAGTAGTTTTTATCACTAAATTTCAGTTTATAAGTTTTTGATTCTTTTTAAAAATTGACTTTTTTGATAAAAATATTTTTTAAACTTTACTTTAATGAAAGACACCTTATAATGAAAGAAATATTTTGTTTTTAAATGTATAGTATAATAAAAATAAAAATTGATATTAGTTAGCATTATTATTTTTCTAATCAAGTTATTATTGTGCTCAAATATTTCTTATAGCAATTAAATATAAATATTAATAAAAATAATAAAAGTAAAATAATAATATACTTTTTATATTTTAATAATTGCTAATATTTTTATAAATTCATGTGCAAAATTATATTTTGTTTTCTTTCATATTATGTCATGTGTTTTTTCTTATTAGTTTTTTCTTATCTAATTTGCGTTTTTGCTATACAGATAATACATTGCAAGTGGAGTGTCTGGTCGCTAGAATGTGCTTTTCTCTTTGCTTAGGTATTTAAATCATTATTATATTAGTTAATAATTAAAAATATTAGTATAGAATGAGTATTAAATTACAAATTTGACATTATCATATGAAAAAGTAAGGGTATTGTAGGCATATCATATTTTTACAGATTCATTAGCTCTTTTATAATAGTATAGATTTGTCTTGTTTTTGGAGTAAAAGTGATTTTATGAAATTGGCGCATTTTTTTTTGTATGTCTGCGTGTATATTATTGATTTTTTGTTGTTGCTTATCATCGCAAATTAATTTAAGTGATTTTATGAAATCGGCGTATTTTATTTGTATGTCTACGTTTATATTATTGACCAATGGCCTTTTCGAACCATCAATAAATAAGAAAGTGTGTGAAACAAGAACAGTGAGGCCAATGTCTGGAGGTTCCTGCATTAGTGTTTATTGTTCCTAATCTGTGCTACACTTCTAACTATCCATGTTTTTTCCTCATAATTAAGTGAATTTTTGTCTGGTTTGGTTTGGTTTGGTTTATGAAATTATGGCGGAATTTGATTTACGGCCCCTTAAGTTGGCCTATTTTCGTAATTTTATATTGAACTGATTTAGTTCGCCGAGCAGGACATGAATGATGCTGAAAACAGTCAGAGAAATGTAAATGTTGTCTCTGGCATGTTACACATTCTTCTTCTTTTTCCTGAATTTTTACTATTTCCTGATGCAATTGGTAAGAACAATTCGTTACTGACTATATTTTCAGCCAATAATGATGACAAAAAGAAATTAAATTACAACAAGTTAATTTGCACATGCAAAAAGAACCTTGCTTCGTGCATCCAATCCAATGTGTTACTTAGTATACACAATAAGTCATGCTAAACAAACAGAAAAACATGGTAATGTTTTCCGGCCAACATTGAATTTGCAGAGGTATTTTTCAAGTTCCTCATTTTTCCCAGTAAGAGAAAAAAAGCAAGGAAAGAAAAAGTTTCCTCATGTTTCCAGTTGGGGACAATTTATACGGCGAAGCATAATATATTAACGGTAACTTCTCCAGTTGTTGATTTAGTAGACGGATCTCCACTTGTTTTGGCAAATCTCATATGCTTCTTGTTGCAATTATCGGTTACTCTGTTTGCAATGCTTTTATGTTCTCAATCATAATCCTTCAAGTTGAACATATTGTTATATTTACATTTTGTTGAGTACCAAATAGTACAATATAGGCATGTCCTTATTTGAAATATTGATCAGAAGATTGGATTATGGAATATGATGCATGGAGATGTGAATTGAATTAGCCTAGGAATGTCAAATTAAACTTGTTAAGTGCACGCACATACATGTTCATGAGCTGTGACCTGATCTACGGTTAATACGACTGCCACAGTCAAGTTTAAATTCTATATTTCTATTTTGCTCATTTCAGACACTTCATATTAAGCTAGAGTTGAAGATGGTTTTGTATTCATCTCAATTTTTTTCCCACTTTTCTACAAAGTACAACCACTTGTTTCTTAAATGAGAACATGTTTTACAGTGTTTGCTTTTTCGAACATGTTAGACGGCCTGACGGCCACTTTTCCAGCTCTTCTGCACATACCGTCCATAGATTAAATGAACTGAAGAGAGGCCACTTTACATAGAACCCATTAAGAGAAGAAAATAGGATGTTCAGATGAGAGAGAGAGAGAGAGAGAGAGAGAGAGAGAGAGAGAGAGAGAATTCTATAATCTCTAGAAGTTGGAAAGAAAACTAGAAGCCCTTTGAACTACATAAATGGCCAAAACAAAAGAATTCAGTCTAGGTGCAGTAGAAGGACATTGAAGGTCAATGTCTGATGAAAATTAGTGAAAGTGACTTTGGGATGAGAGAGAGAGAGAGAGAGAGAGAGAGAGAGCACCTCTATAAGTTGGAAAGAAAAGTGGAAAGCCAGGGGACATATGGCCAAAACAAAAGAGTTCAGTCTAGGTGCATTAAATGGAGTGACCTTTGGATTATTTTTGTGCTTATAAAATGAGGGACCAACAACATAATATTTATATTGCTATAGTCATCAACCCTTTTTTCAGACCTTTTTCAATTGTACACTAACCTGCCTTCATAATGTCTAACCCCAAAGATTTCATGTTCACCTTGAAAGCCATGATAAACAAGCAAAAGACTAAGGTTCTTTATGTGGAGGCAGATAGCGATTTCGTAGATGTTTTGTTGAGCTTCCTGACGTTGCCATTGGGGACTATCGTTCGAGTCTTGAACAAACACTATGGTGATGGGGCTCCTGTTGTTGGAAGCTTAACCACTTTGTACAACGGCTTAAGCAATTTGGACAATGGCCTTTTCTTGTCAGAGGATTGTAAGAACCTGCTGCTCAACCCAATAAGGTCGTCCGAGGTCGAATGTCGTCGGCTGAAAATCAACGTTGACGACACGCCACCCACAAGGTACTTCAAATGTGGAGACACAAGTTGTCAATATTCGAATCTAAGCATGTACTTCAGCGGATTGAGATGCAGTTGCCGGAAACCGTTGGACAAAGAAATTTACGCGAGAGGTGTGTATGATAGTGTCGGTGGTGTGTTTATTGCAAGTAAAGCATCATTAATCATCACTGATGATCTTCAAATATTTCCTAGTGTGACGAGTACTGTTGTGCAAATTCTGCGCAACTTAGGCATCACAGATACAGTCGGGATAGTGGAAAGGAGTCTTACTTTTGGATTCAATGAGGTGAGTGACGAATTTTTACCTCTTTATATAGTAGTACCAAATTTATGAGTCTTCTAATGTTTGATCATGCTTTAGTTTTTGTAGATAATGGATTTGCTGAAGGGGTCGTTAGTTTCTCGGGCACCATTCACACAACTTATTCTCAATCAGAAGACGTTGAACCTTGTAGCAGTGAAGTGCACGATAGGTGTCTTACCAGTTGATCTGATCAAGAAACAGATGGAATCTTTCAGTGCCAAGAATGTAACTGTGAAAGCCATTGTATCGGCTAATAAGCTACTGTTTGCTGAAGTCGATGGTGATTTTGTGGATTTCCTATTTAGCCTGCTGGCTCTCCCCTTGGGAGGGGTCGAGTGGCTAATGGGCTGTGACACATGTCTTACAAATATAGACAATTTGTACAAAAGCGTATCGAATATGGGAATCAACAAGTATTTGAAGAACATAGGCAAAACGAAAACTCAGCTACTGCAGCCTAAGTTACCATTATGTTACTATTCAAGAACACACTTTCTCTCACCGAATGGAAAAGATTTCAATCCTAGGTATTCTTCTTATGATAATGGAGGCTGTCCGTCACGTTTGCCCTCGTTGGACTCATTTTCTGGTTTCTGGGTATCTTCTTATAAGTTTCCGGAAGGCCAGGTGACCTACTATAGTGGCCATTGGGTGCCTAATACATTCGCAGAAGTGCACGAAAAATATGTAAAAGGACTAAATATGTATATGGTGACAGACGATTTAACTGTGACTCCCTTGTCTTCCACCTCGGGCTTTTCCGTTATCAATAGCCTCAAAATCCCTTTATCCGAAGTCAAGGAACTTGAGCTGGTTGTTGGCTTGGAAGAGGTTAGTGCGAGTAACATTTGACTCTGAATATGCGCTTTATACTGATTTATACTGATAATCATTTCGTTTTTGGTTTTTGGTGTAGGCTCTGAGCATACTGAAAGCATCTCTAACTTCGTCTTGCGCCTTAACCGATGGCCTCATCGCTCCTTTTTTAAGGAAGCAACCAAAGCAAGAGGGATAATGATTTATATAAGATCAGAGCCGGGGCTCGTGCAATAGTTTTCATGACTAAGTCTTACATTTCGTAATTGAATAGTTTTCAAGAAACTTTTGTCGTTGACTTATCAGCGAGTATATGAAATTCCTTATTTTTAGTTTTATCTACCCCTGTGACTGAATTGGACTTCGACAACTATCTATAATGCTAGTGGCTTTGAACCTTAAACGACGACACATAGTATAAATTAGTAACTTCTGAAACTGATTAAATGTAGAATGCAGATTGTAAAAAGTTTCTTTACTGCAACCATTTTCAAATGTCAGATTTGATGGCAGCTTCTTTTCTCAGAGCTCCAATATTAGACAGTATTATGTGTGCATTTACAAGGTCAGCCTAATCATACTCAGCACAAAACTGAATCAAGAGTGATGTGTAGAAATCAATATGTTAGTTATAATAATTATGAGCATTGTACTCTTTGAAAATGACTTCATATGACCTGAAGATGACGTCACAAAGGAGATCAGTTATGTGGACAAATGAAGTTATGTTAGGATTACTAAATCAGACTTATGGCTGTTGGGCTTTAGAACATTCTACAGTTGATCTTTAGAACAACCTTTAGATTGACGATTTTAAAAGCACGTCCTGAAGTAATTATGGATTAAACTAATGGTGTGCATTTCTGTTTTGTATCCTTTATTTGATTAGCCCAATTTCTGTTTTATATCCTTTATTGATTAGCCCAAGTTACCATTATGTTACAATGATTGACCTGAGTATTGACAGCTATCGATAATGCTAGTGACGTTCAACCTTAAACAATGACACATAGTATGGAATGATAAAATTTTGAAACTGATTAAATATAGATTACAGATTGTGAAACGTTTTTCGAATTAAGCCATTTTCAAATGTCAGATTTGATGGCTGTACCTTTTTCCGAGTTCTGGAAGAATATTAGATTGTATTCTGTTTGCACATAGTTTAGATCAAGCTTCCTTTATATCCAGTCTGTTCGTGTGCTATTAGTCCTTTACCTTAAGTCTGTTCGTCTGCTACGAACATATTAACTTGCCGCTCTTCATTCCAGCAAAAAAAAGTATGGTTCTTGTGCTCTGCACATATACAACAAGAAAGCTACATTACTTATAACTTATGTCCAATACTAGAAATGGAATTTGATGTCAGTTCCCATATTCTTAGTTTACTGTGAAAAACAAAGTACTGTTTGCTGAATACTTACTAGTGGCACTTATTTGGATACTCTGTTTTGTAATGCTTTTGTGGTCTGAGTTGTAGTCCTTATCAATACATATCATTATACTTATCTG